CCTGGCGAGTCGGATGCGTCGGCGCACGCCCTGACTTCCGTGGAACAGGACGCCTGGCCGGACTCGCCCTCCGACCACCGTTTTTGGCAGACGGCGAACATGCGGCAGAAAACGACATTCGCCCCGCCGCCGGCGCCGCCTTGCAAGTGCTCCACAGGCCAGGCAGGCCCCAGCGAGCCAGTGGCCTCCGCCTGGGCGCCCTGCTCCCAGACCTCGGCCGCGCGCGGGTGGCTCCTGCGCACGCGATCAACCAGCTCTGCGTTGCGCCTGGCGGAGTGCGCCAGCAGCTGCTCGACCGACCACTCCGGCGCCGCTGCCGGGAGCGGAGGAAAAATGCCAGAAGCGGCCGGCGCCCCCGCGTCGGGCAGGCCCCGGCGCATGTTCTCTAAAAACTGCACCGCCGGGGACCCGACGAGGCGCAGGAGGCGGAGGGAGAGAAGGGTGGGCTTGCCAGCGAACCCCCGAAGGGCAGGGTCCACCGAGGCGGCCAGGCTTTGCTGGCTGACCTCGAGTTCCCGCTTACACACTTTTAACAGGGCCAGCCGTTTCAGGCGCACCTCGTTGATGCCTGCGCCGAAACGAAGTTGCGCTGCCAACGCGCACGCCGTGCCCTCCGCTATCACCGGGAGCTGATTCAGCGGGTGGCTTCCTGCGGCGGCCAACTGCAGGGCCACCCGCAGGTGCTGCGCGGGTGGCAGTCCCCGCGAAGGCACCGTGGCGACGGCGCCCCGCAGGTGAACGGCCACTGCGGAGTCGGCGACCCACCCGCGGGCCACGGCGAAGGCTTCGCCCTCGCCTGGAAGAGCAGCTCCAGGAGCGCCTGGAACTAAGGCGAACAGGTCTGCGTTCGTCTGCAGGGCAGCAAGAGGGTAGGCGGAGGAAAGGCAGCGAGGGGGGGAGGGAGGCGCGGCGGCGGCCGAAGGGCAGGCAGGGGAAGCGGGCGAGGAGGGCGGGGAGGCCGGGGAAGAAGGAGGGGAGGAGGAGGAAAGGACAAGCAGGAGAGCAGCAGCGTGCGAGACTCCACTCGCTCTCAGCCCTGCATGCGCCAGCGGGCGACCCTGCCAGGCATCACTCTCGAGCGGCGCCAAGCTCGCCGCGGCGGGCGACGGCGCGCCGCCCCGGCTGTCCTCCGGACGCGCCCCTCACCGCACGTCGCGCCACTTAGGGCCGTCGCGGCCGCGCGCCGGCGGCGTCCGGCTGCGGTCCCTCGGCCGGTCTTTGGGTCCGCCCAAGCCGCCGCTGCCGCCCCTGCGCGAGAAGCCGTTCTGCTCGAGGTGGCCCACCAGGCACTTGTGCGAGCCCGGGCCTGTGGCGCGGCAGAAAGGGCACCCGCGGCGAAACTGGCAGGCCTCCTGCTTCGGGCACTGCCCGAAGAGGAAGCGCCGGCGCGGAAACGCCAGGCCGTCCTGGCCAGCGGCCGCGGACGCGGTGGGCGCGGCGGCGCCGGCCTGCTTGACCTCTGTCTGGCAGCGGGCGAGGCGGCTCCAGTCGAGCTCGCCGAGGACGGCGCTGGCGCTGCCCCGGCCCCCTTCGTCGCCCTCCCCCCGTTTGCTGCTGGAGTAGGCCTCGAACAGCACCCGAGACGAGTAGAAGGCGGCAGCCAGCTCGGCGACGCGCTGCGGCACGGCCTCGTCGTTGGCGGCGGCGGCCACCTGTCCGACGTAGTTGAGCACGTCCCCCCACGACACCCTGCGCTCTAGGGCGGCGGCCCAGAGGCGAGGGAGTTCGCGGCAGAGCGTCTGCGCCACCGGACGCTGCAAGCGGCAGGCGTCTTCGGCCTCAGGCTCTGGGCAAGCCAGGAAGCGCCCAGCCTTGCGGGCCGACGCGGCCGCGCAGAGGGCAGCCTCGTCCGGCCCCAGGGAGCGCAGCGGCTCTCCCTGCTTGGACTGCTTCACCAGGGTGCGGAGCTGGTCCGTCGGGCCCCTGGGAGGTGAGTTCCTCGAGGGCCTTGGTGTCCTGTTGGGCCGCCGCGGCCACCACCTTGCCGAGGAACAAGCGAAGAACAAGTTGCCACTTGCGCTGGCGGCTGGCCCGGCCCCGCGCCACTCCGCCGGCGGCGTGTCGAAGGGGGGCGGGGCGCCGCCCGGGGCCTCCCCCCAAAAGCCCGGCGGGCCCGCAAGGTTGCGGGAGCCGCGGCCGCTCTCGGACAGCACAGCCACCATCTCCTGGAGGGCCGCCCGGCCGCGCGGGCCAAGGTCGGCGGGCGCTCCTTTTGGGAAACCGCGGCCGCCCAGCGTCCGGAGGTCCTTGCGGAGGTCCGCCGCGTCGACCTCGCCGTAGTCGCACTTAGCGAGCGCCGCCTTGAGCCGCTCCCACGGGCCCTCTGCTGCGAGCGCCTTGGCGGCCTCGCTCCCCTCGCCGAGCTTGGCCGACAAGGCCGCGAGGGTGGATACGCCTTCGAAGTGTCCCCCAGCCCCTTCTTCCAGCGCTTCGCTGGCCCTGGCGGCGGCAGGAGCGGCCCCCTGAGGCTCGGACGTGGGGGGTTCTCGGAAGAAGAATCGAAGAATGAATGAAGAGGCACGGTAAGCGGCATGCAAACCTAGGGCAAGCGACCCCACTCTTGAGCCCCAAATGCGACAGACATGCTGCAGGGCGCATGCGCGTGCGCACAGCGAAGCGAGGAGGGGGAGGTGAGAGTCTAACTTTGCTTCACCTTTGAGAATCCGAGTTTTCCGGAGGGGGGGGGGGGGGTTCGAACCGGCAGTGACCCCCCCCGGTTTTCCGCCAGCAGCGGTAGAACACGCTCTTTCAGATATCATATAGTTCTTGGCGATCGCGGACCCGCGCGCAACGACGATGCGAAGCGAGACAAGCACACCGAGCGAGCTGGAGCGCTCGCTGGCGCTGCCAGGGCGGACTCCATGTTGGACTACAAGTGGCCTGTCGCGTCGTCGACAATGCCGCACGCTCTCTCTCTCTCTCTCTCTCTCTCTCTCTCTCTCTCTCTCTCTCTCTTTCTCTCTCTCTCTCTCTCTCTCTCTCTCTCTCTCTCTCTCTCTCTCTCTCTCTCTCTCTCTCTCTCTCTCTCTCTCTCATCCCTCTCTCTCTCCTTCACTCCTTCCGGAGCGAGCGCCGGCCCTCGCAGTCGCCAGGCGGCGAGCGACCGAGGGCCGGCGCGTTCGGCGGAGCGCCAGGTGCACAACATCGGCGGGCGAGATTTGGCCCGCCCGACTCCAAGCGTCGCGGAAGGCGAGCGACGCCTTCCCCCACGCCTTCCCCCCTTGCGCGCAGCACAGATGAAGGGGAACTGGGACACACAAATAAATAGACACAAATAACCAGATGCCCCCTATTTCCCCACATTTTCTGGGGCTTTGTCTTCCCCCCCACTTCCCACATTTTCCTATATTTTCTGGGGAATCGACGATTACTTGTGTCTGTGTGTTTATTCCCTCCTGAACAAAGTAGAACGCCTGCGGGCGTCAGTGATGTGGCGTTCGACCATGTCACAATGGTCGGGGACAACGACTCATCTCAGCCCATCCGTCGAATTGGCGCGCAGACCACCAGGTTAGGAAGGCAGAGAGCGCCTCGGGATAGTGCAGCTGTGGGTCCGCGGGGGCACGGAGTGGCACAGAAGAGGCCAGGAACTCAGACCAGAGCGAGTTGCTGGCCACGCGCCAGATCCGGGCGACTGCCTCAACCATCTCGCGAGGGGATAAACAGTGAAGGGTTGCATCCACGCGGGAGCCCAGATGGCAGCGGGGGCCCCCTGGACGCGTAAGGCCCGAGTCAGGAAGGAAGGTGCGAAGTGGGAAGGCTCGCCGGCTTGAAGGCCGCCTGCCGCGACCCCGTGTGCGTCTGAGCCTGCCACAGCGATACCAATCACATCGAAGGTGTCAGCTTGTGCGATTTCAAACGCACAATACACCTGACCGAGCGCAAGCTCCTCAATGACGAACGGAATCTCACACTCCGCTGAATTCACTGCCAAGCGCAAGTGTGCGCCTACCGCCCCCCCCCCCGTTGCACTGAACGCGCCAGCGGCCGACTATGAGGGCAGCCAAGCGTTCGTTGGCGGGCTCAGGGCAGGCCTGCTGGACGGTTTCAACAATTGTCTTCGCTTGCAGCTTCAACTTCACAGCGCCACCGCATTCCCTCCCAGGGCGGATCATTTTGAAGCCCGGACGCAATGCACACGAGTGAAACGGCATCGGGTACGACCCCGCTACTTGTTGCGTGCGCAGCGTATCTGCGCGGCGCGCCTCGTCAGCCAGCGGCGCACGGTAACTCACTACGCGAACAGATAACTCGTCGATGATCGATGCCGCGAACTGCGCAGTGACGGCGCGGATGTACTCGCGTCGGCATACTTGAACTATGCAGAAAGGCGTTAAGCCAGTGAGAGCGACGGCGTCGTCCACGCGGTCGTACATGTTGCCGTGGAAGCCGACAGTGAACAATGCAAGGTCTGTATGCCTGAACCATGCCGCGGAGGGCCACGTCCTCCGCGCAGCATACCCGCGTCTGACAAAGGGCAACACAGCCAGCGCCCAGTGCCCAAGCCTTGGCCCGATGGCCGCTAGAGGAAGAGAGAGGATGAAAGAAGAGGAGGGTGGGAAGAGGGAGGAGTGGGATGATGGGAGGGGAAGATGAGGAGGAGACGTGAGAGAGGAGAATGGGGGAGAAGGGGAAGGCGAGGGAGGAGGGGGACGGGAGGGAGGAGAGGGAGGAGGAAAGGATGGGGAGGAGGGGGAGGGTGGGGAGGGAAGGAGGAGCGGTAGCCGGAGGTAGGTGGAGCGGGGGGAACCGTCGTCGTCGTCGTCGTCGTCGCCACCGCCGCCCCAGCTATTGCCGCCGACGTCGTCTTGTGCACCCCCGTGCTTATTACCAGAGGCGTCCCCAGCCCAAGGTGTCCCAAGTTTTTAGCGCCACTCTGGAGCACCTGGGGCCCCCATGGGCCTCGTGAAGGATGCTCTGAAGGCGATGCGTGTGCCTGCCTGAAAAAGCTGGGGGCACCTCGGACCAAGGCCACTTCTGGCAAACCCGACGGGGCTGTCCAGCCAGCGGACGGCGCGCACGTCCCAGCCGAGCTGGCGCAGCAGCCGCCTCTTCAGCCTGCCGCGGGCCGCTGGGCTCGACGACCCGCCGCGGGACGCTGGGCACGAGAGCCCCGTCCGACTCTGAAGCAGACGGTTCCCCTGGCGGACCTCTGACCTTACTTCAGGAATGCGTAGCTCACGCCGGGGGATTCGGATTGTTCCTCCAGTAAGCTTGCCTATGGAATTCTTACTTGGTGAAAGGGTGGTGCCTCGGGTGGCTACTTGCCCGTTCCTTGGAGGTTCCCTGGGTTCCTCGGGTTCCCGGGTTCCCCATGTTCCCCGGGTTCCTCGGGGTCCACGGGTTCCCCGGGTTACCTGGGTTCCTCGGGTTCCTGGGGGTTCCTCAGGTTCCCCATGTTCCCTGGGTTCCTCGGGCTCCTCGGGTTCCTCGGGTTCCTCGGGTGCCTGGGGTTCCCCGGGTTCCTCGGCTTCCTCAGGTTCCTGGGGTTCCTCGGGTGCCTGGGGTTCCTCGGGTTCCCTGGGTTCCTCGGGTTCCTCGGGTTCCTCGGGTTTCCCGGGTTCTTCGGGTTCCCCGGGTTCCTCGGGTTCCTCAGGTTCCCTGGGGTCCCAAAGCAACGCCGAGCAAGGCCAAGCAATGCGAAGCAATGCCAAGCAATGCCAAGCAATGCCAAGCAGTGCCCAGCAATGCCAAGCAATGCCAAGCAATGCCCAGCAATGTCAAGCAATGTTAAGCAATGCCAAGCAATGCTAAGCAAAGCGAATCAATGCCAAGCAATGCGAAGCAATGCCAAGCAACGCCAAGCAATGCCAAACACTGCGCCCATGCAGTAGAAAGCCATTCCCCAAATTGGGGCCGCGCCGAGTTCATATCAGAGACAGCGGCTCGGCACTGTCAAGAATCGACGCTGGGCCAAAAACCAGGCACAGTGACAACACTTGCTCTGACATCTTTGGGGGGGCAGGACTGCGGAGGATGGAAAGTCTGCGCCATCAGAATTATCATGGCGAAGGACCCAACCATAGGCAGCTGTGAGTATCGCCATTGTGGGTATCGCCTTCGGTGAATCTCCATATGGGGCCACGAAGCGTGCGAAGGGTGTGCAGATATGGGGCGGGGCCGCCATGCGGGCGCTGCTAGTGGGGTCTTGGGCATACACCCCCTTTACGTGGCCACGAAACGTGTCAGGGGTGTGCCGAAATGGGGCGGGACCGCCATGCGAACGTCGCCACTGGGGCCTTCGGTGAAGCTCCAAATGAGGCCACGAAACGTGTGAGGAGTGTACGGACATGGGCGGGGGGGGGACACATGCGAACGTCGCCACGGAGGCCCTCCGTAGAACTCCGTATCGGGCCGCGAAATCGTTTGAGTGGTGTGCCGACGTGGGCAGGGGGCGCATGCAAAGGTCGCCACGGGTGCCTTTGGGCCACGAAACGTATGAGTGGTGTGCCGAAAAGGGCGGGGGATGCATGCGCATTCGGTGCAGCTCCCTTTGGGGCCACGGAACGCTGAACTGGGCGGGGCGGACGCATGCGAATGTCGCCACTGGGGCCTTCGGTCTGGCTCCCTGTGGGGCCACGAAACGACTGACGGGTGTGCCGAGATGGGCTGGGGGGATGCCTGCGAACGTCGCCACGGGTGCCTTCGGTGGAAGTCCATATGGGACCACGAAACTGTGAGTAGCGTGCCGAAAGGTGCGGGCGGAAGACGCATGCGAACGTCGCCACGGGAGCCTTCTTTTTCGATGCGAGAAGTGGCCCAACGCTGCCCGAATCCACTCACAGACCGCACGCACATCACGGTGCGCACGCGCAAAAGCCTGCAACCTGTTGTGGCCGAAGAAAAAACATGCAATGGTGGTCATCACCCCTGACCGTCCTACAAGAGCGGCAAATCATTAGCCAGCTAGTTCAACTTTCTTGACGTGGGATGGATTTGAGAATGCCCTCCCAGACGGGTTCCAGGAGCAACGCGTTAGGGCAATTGTGGAGGCAATCCAGGCTAGATTCTCCTAGCCCGCGGTGGGCAGCACCCCTCGTACTCGTTTCGTTCCAAAATGGCAGCAGTGTGACGTTTGGAAACTGGTGCGTCGCAAGTACTCTGTGCAGGATGCTCCCGTAATAGTTGGCAAACTCAGCGTCGGTCGAGACATCAGGGCGGCAGCCGTTGGGCCCAGTCGGGAAGTTGCGAGCTTGTGAAACCATGTCGTCATACAGCCCACCCATGTGGGGAAAATGCGTCGCCTGGGGTTCCAAGAACAGGCTCCTCGACTTGGCCCTCTGGCCAGAGAACTGCAACAGCTCAAGAATAGGAGGCAGAGTCTCCTCAAATCTCTTGAAAACATGAAACCCTTGAGTGGCCACAGTAAGAACGCCTCCTCGTAGTCTCCAAATCGTCTCAATCATTGACCTGATGGCGGGTTCATAACCAGAATCAAGCACGGAACACGACGAGCACATCTCTGTATGGCGCCTGAATACGACGAGCAGGTCTCTGCCAAGAATTGGAACTCAGGTTGCCCAGAATATTGTCACCTGTTTTCCTGACACCTTGTCCCTTACTCGTTGTTGACCCCCTGCTGCTCCGATCTGGTTCACTTCCGTGGACGATCCAGTCGCACCCTCGTACCTTGTCAGATTATCAAGTAAATGCTCCGGAAGATGACGCACCAGACTGCACATCGATTCCTGGAACACCCCACCCATAGTTGAATCGCCTAGGAGAAGGATTGTGTTTGTGCCGCTTGAGAGGCGCTGCAGCACATCCAGAAATGTAGATGGCTTAGAATTTGGTCCACGTTGTGCACCATCCCAACGGAGCGTCTGCTGTTCGACATTACCGGATCCACTGCACGGCGGAGTCATCCCGGAAACGAAACATCTGTTGTCTCGCAATAGCTGATCTCGCTTACTCTCGGTCATGTTCTCGCATGCAATGGTTGAATCCGTGCGCGCATGAAGTTTTGAGATCTGGCACTGCTCGCTTGCTGTGAAGACACTGCTCATCAAATGCGGGCGAAGCTGTGTCCATGACGAGCGGTTCTTTTTCAAAAGTGTGCCTTCCACTCGAAGGCTGTCAGCCGACCGACAGGACAATATCACCAACTGCACTGTCACGCTAACGATGTTACGCATTGCTGTGTAGAGAATAGTTTTTCGTCCCGAACACGAGGAAAGGTACGATATGAGATCGCAGTTTCGGTCGTTTTGGAGCGTACAGGCTCCTGCTCACATGGATTGAGCAAAAATGGCTACGGATGTCGCCACGGGAGCCTTTCGTGGAGCTCCCTGTGGGGCCACGAAACGCTGTGTTGGGTGGGGCGGACGCATGCGAACGTCGCCATCTGGGCCTTCGGTAAGTCTCCCTATGGGGCCACGACACGCTGTACTGGGTGGGGCGGACGCACGCGAGGATCGCCACTGGGGCTTCCAGTGGAGCTCCCTATGGGGCCCCGAAGCGCTGTACTGGGTGGGGTGGACGCATGCGAACGTCGTCACGGGGGGCCTCGGTGGAGCAAACTATGGGACCACGAAACAATGTTCTGGGCGGGGCGGGGGCATGCGAACGTCGCCACTGGGGACTTCGGTCTGGTTCCCTGTGGGGCCACGAAACGGTGTATTGGGCGGGGCGAACGCATGCGAATGTCGCCAATATGGCCGGTGGAACTCCACGTGGGCCCACGATACACTGTACTGGGAGAGGCAGACACATGCGAACATCGCCACTGGACCTTCGGCGGAGCCCCCTTCTGGGGCCACGAAACGATGTACTGGGTGGGGCGGACGCGTGCGAACGTCTCCACTGGGGCCTTCGGTGGAGCTCTCCATGGGGCCACAAAACGTTGTACCGGGTGGAGATGACGCATGCGAACAAGTTTTTTAAGGGCGTTCGGTGGGGTTCCCTCGGTGGTCACGAAACGATGTACTGGGTGGGGCGGACGCATGCAAACGTCGCCACTGGGCCTTCGGTGGGTGGTCTCCCTATGTGACCACGAAACGATGTAGTGGGCGGGGCGGACGCATGCGAACGTCGCCCCTGCGGCCTTCGGTGGAGATCCTTACGAGGCCACGAAAAGCCGTACTGGGTGGGGCGGACGCATGCGAACGTCGCAACTGGGGCCTTCGATGGAGCTCCCTATGGGGCCACGAAACGCTGTAACGGGTTGAGGGGACGCATACGAACGTCACTTTTGGGGCACCCGGTGGAACTCCTTATGAGGCCTCGAATCGCTGCACTGAGCGGGGCGGACGCATGCGAAGATCACCACTGGCGCCTTCGGTTGAGCTCCCGATGGAGCCACGAAACTCTGTACTGTGTGGGGAGGACGCATTCGAGCTCATTTTGGGGGCGTTTGGTGGAGCTCCCTATGGAGCCACAAAGCGCTGTGGTGGGTGGGGCGGACGCATGCGAACGTCGCTATTAGGGTCTTCAGTGAAACTCCCGATGGGGCCACGAAGCGCTGTACTGGGCGGGGCGGACGCATGTGAACGTCGTTTTGGGGTCCTTCGCTGTGGCTCCAAATGGGGCCACGAATCGCTGCACTGGGCGGGGCGGCTGCATGCGAACGTCGCCACTGGGGCCCTCAGTAGAGTTCCCCATGGGGCCACGAAAACCTGTACTGGGTGGGGCGAGCGCATGCGAACGTCGGGACGCGTGCGAAAGACGACACTGGGGCCTCGGTGGAGCTTTCTACGGGGACACGAAACGGTGTACTGGGTGGGGCGGACGCATGCGAACGTCGCCACTGCGGCCTTCGGAGGAGCTCCCTGTGGGGCCACGAAACGCTGTACTGGGTGGGGCGGACGCATGCGAACGTCGCCAATGTGGCCTCCGATGGAGCTCTCTATGGGACCACGAAACATGTGACGGGGTGTACTGACATGAGTCGGGCGGACGCAGGCGAACGTCGCCGCTGGGGCACTCTGTGGACGTGAGGCACGTGCTGAAACTGTGGACACGCACATATACGAAGCCCGATGCTGACGATGGCGATGGCGATAGCGACTATGATGATGATGATGATGATGATGATGATGATGATGATGATGTTGATGTTG